TGACACCATCCAGTCAGATTTTTTCCACCTCAAACTTGCCTTAAATGTTGATAACACCAAAGAGATGCTTTTTTCAAAAAGGAAGTCGGTCCCAACAGTTCCTCCTAACAACTTCACGCAGCATCTCCCACTGGTACATTTTCCTCTTTAAATCACTTCTTGGTCTGCTGCCTTCATACATCTCCTCCTACATGTCTCTGTGTAAGTGCAGCCACATTGTGCGCTCTCAGGACATTATTACCTGCAGTGTTCCCTCAGTGCAGACTGAACTTGGCAAAAGGGCCTTCTCCTACTTTGCTCCTGTTTCCTGGAATATCTTGTAAAAGATCTGAAGCTCTCAACCTTGACCTCTCTAAGTGGCTTTAAACATCTGTTGGACTCCTGGCAAGGACCAATGAAGACATGTTTCTGTTTTTAGTTTTCTATATTCACCCTATAATCTAGATGTTTTTGTTACTTTTTTTGCCATCTTATTTTAATTTATAAAAAATAAAAAATAAATCTGTATGCCTTTTTATAATTGTCTTGTTGTAGCTGCTTCCCATTGTTGTCATCACTCTTTGTTGAAATCAGGTCTCTGTGTTCATTTTTTGAAGCTTCAGTTATAGTGTTCACTCCTGGCAACCTGCAATGCTGCAGTCAAATCAGGCAATCTGATTTTTTTGCACACACCCAAAGAACTATAATGAAGACTGTTAAAGAAACGACTTTGCTCTGGTAGAAAACAGTTTAATTTATGTAGCAAGTTTATATGATCTCACTTGGACTAGTTGGTTTAAAAAGTTGTTGATGTTTACACATTATACTTTCAAATAAAGATTGATGAATATGCATTGTTATAGAGGATGTCTAATCCAATTTGGCATGGTATTGGTGTGTTTGTATTACTATGATGGAGTCAGAGTCTGTATCATTGTTAGATATAACTATGAAATGACAAAGAAAAATCCAGAATCCCTGTGGAGAAAAGTGCAAAGATTGGGAACTATCAAAGACATTTATTGAGGAACATCAGTTTTTCAACAGTTTTAGGTGTTAGCCAGTTTCTTTTTTTACTCACAACCTCTCCACAATTGCAAGGGACAGATGATGCTGGCATGCATAAAACATGTTTCACCAGTGTAAACAGATGTTGGTACACATTTTGATGGTTCAGCCTATACACCAGCGGGTGTTCTTCTCTATCCAGTGGTGGATCATCTGCTATGGCATTCCTTGCCCTTCTTGCTACAGATGCATCTCTGTCCAAAGTTTCCCTAAGGTTTATACTTGAAAATAGAAACAGGGTAGTAGTCATCATTGCTGAAACACTTAAATTTGTGTCAGTTTAAAAACAATGCTTAATTGAGAAAATGCTCAGTCAAATCTTGTTGCATTTTATTTATCAAATCATTGCATGTGGAAGAAAGCTGTAATACATGAGCTAGTACTGGTTGTACTAATGTGGAGGGCTCCTCTTCCATGGGTGTATCAGCTAGAGTGTGTTATTAATTTTGAGTCATTCTGCAGGAACTCGTGCTTGTGCTTGATTGTAAAATCATGTTTTAAATCTAGGATGCAGGAGTGTAGAAATGGTCAATGTTTGGTACTCAGTTGTTTCAAATGTATTTTGCATTGCTGTTATTAAGTTCTGTCCCAGTTGCTTAGTTCTGATGTGGGTTATTTTTTTTCCAATTGTTTTAAACAAGTGTATCATAAACATTTTAGTCATTGGGATAGCCTTTGACCGTGACATTATTCTCCGCTGAAAGTTCCACTGTCACCTGGTAAAAAGGGCCTAGCAACTGCAGACTTGCAGCAGTTGTTTCATAGTCCTCGAAGTACAGAGGTTTCAAATATGTTTTGAGTTCTGCAATAGCAGCCTCCACTGACTGTCTTTTTTGTAATAGGCATTGTAGCATGAGGAAGGTGCTGTTCGAGCATGTGTCACCCTCCTGAATGCCTATGCATTCTACAAGACAGCCTTGGCCTTAATGTTCTTCTGTCAAGGTTCAGGTTTTGGATTAAAATATAGCCAGGCAACAAGAGTGTCAAACAAAACAATTTTATTAATTTGCAGCTACTGGGATCCAACTGTGAAGATATGTCTTCACAGACAGATGGGTAGAGCCTGCAGAGAGCATGCAGAGATGACATCACCATTACTGGTTGCAAAGCAGCTGCTGGGGAGCACCGTGGTTAGTATGGTCAGGGGGGTAATCCAAAAGCAGGATCCGAAGGGCAAAGCAGGGGTCATGCCCAGGTAGTCAGAGGCCCAAGAAAACAAGTCCAATGGGTAAGACCATCCATCCATCCATTATCTTTACCCGTTTATTCCATTTTGGGTCACGGGAGTCGCTGGTGCCCATGTCCAGCAATCACTGTGCGAGGGGCGGGGTACAACCTGGACGGGTCGCAAGTCCATCACAGGGCCACATAGAGACAAACGAGACAAACAACCATTCACTCTCTCACTCACACCTAGGGACAATTTAGAGTTACCAATCAGCCTAACATGCATGTTTTTGGTCTGTGGGAGGAAACCGGAGTACCCAGAGAAAACCCACACATGCACGGAGAGAACATGCAAACTCCACCTAGAAGGCCCCTGGACCGGGGTTTGAACCAGGGACTTGTTCGCTGAGAGGCAGCAGCTCTACCAGTTGCGCCACCGTGCTGCCCCCAATGGGTAATACGAACATCCAAAATATGTGGGCAGAGGAAGTAGTCTAAACCAGGGTCGGATGGGCAGAACAAAACCAGACAAAGAACAGGCAGAATGGTAAATCCACAAGACTAGGCGTGAAGTCGAAATCCAAAGAACATGGCATGAATGTGAGGTGTGAACAAGAACAAAATGGCTAGATATCAGATACCATGAAGGGTACAAAAACCTGGCAGAGTAAAGTGGTGAGAGGAGTTCTTAAATCAGGACCAGAATAGGTGAAGTGAATTAT